TAGACTGTAGCTCATATATCCCTACTTAAGGCAAGCGTCTGGGGTCGCTTTGCTTTTCCGTTTGCAAATCCCAAGGTGGTCCGCCAGCGAGGACCGTTGTGCCCTGCTACAGTGGCTCGTGAAGTCCACTCAGGCCAATGGGTTTTGGGCTTAGGATTCAGGGTTTATAAGGTTTAGGGTAGTTGGGGTTTGCAATGGTTAGGAGTCCATCTTCGGAGTACGTTGGGGTGTACATTTGCACCTCAAACTATGGAAGCCCCTACATCGATGGTGGCAATGGTAGATGTTGTCTAGTACGTTGTGTCCACATCTGTCAATGCATGCTATCAGTCATGAAAGATGTGTGAGCTTGAAGAGCTTTTGTCAAGGACGCCATCACAGATACTTACGCACTTATTGCGAAGATTGAAGCCCAGGGCGCCAGTCTTACATTCACAGTACCGTGCAGAATGATGGACGTGCATCATCAACAGTGCAAATGCAAGCCCGCTCCCTTTCAATTTTAGGGCATTACAGACATGCTACTGATAAGCTTAATTCAAGATCAGCTAATATGCCAGGCATCAAGGCAATTCAGTCAGCAGCATGGCACAAATTTTGCCTCATCACGCGAGAGCTTCCCCCCCGAGGATTTAAGGAAAACCTCCAAACTCCCCATGGAATCCTGCTACCAGAGGTCCACTCCAAGCTTTAGCCCCCAAGCCATATAAGCCCAATATACTGTAGTAGCTTCCATGTCTTTTCCATGATCCCCATATAACCCTATAAAATTTCATAAAACCCTATAAAACCTTATAAACCATATAGAACCCCATATAACCCCAACACAACTCGTATGATCTCAGCTCCCCCTAAGCAAGCGGCTCTAGAGGCCAAGCGCGTTTTGGAGATTGGCAGCTTCTGCGGCGTAGGCCTTTATAGGGTTTTACAGGGTTTTATAGGGCTTCATAGGGTTTCATAAGGTTTCAAAGGGTTTCATAGGGTTTTAAAGGGTTTCATAGGGTTTTAAAGGGTTTGATAGGGGTTATATGGGGATAATCGAAAAGAAAATGGAAACTACTATCGTATACTGGGTTTATATGTATCCAAGCACATGTGGGCGTAGGCCATGCAGTTGTATCCAAGCACCCTTAAGGGGGATGTAAGGGTTTTATGGGGTTATATAGGCCTTATATAGGGTTCAAGGTTCAGGGTTTGGGGTTGCCTAAAATTAGGAGTACCATTTTGGGGGGCCTTATAATAGGGGCCATAGCATTTTAGGGTCCATGCTAGGGTCCCCCTATTTCGGGACACTACCATGTAAAGCCCTTTAGGAGGTAATGGGGAGCATGTAGCGGTTGCACGCATGGTTTGGGATAAGAGAGCCACTGGTGCGATGTGGCTCACATCACGGGATGCAGATGTTGCAGATTTCCCCAAAAATAAATCTAAATTCGAAGTCCTAAAGTCATGACCGGCCATGGATCAAAGGGTCTTCATTTGCCAGCTTCATTGCCGGTCAGGTTCGTTGGCGCTCGCTGAAGCTCTGCAAGATGACGGAGAGCCGCTTGCCTGTTCTTGGAAGCTTGCAGTCAAGGATCATAGGGGTTATATAGGGATTATGTGGGGGTACTGGAAAAGAAAATGGAAACTGCTATAGTACATTGGGGTTATATGGGGATAATGGAAAAGACAGTGGAAACTGCTAGGTACGCAGCGGGTTACCGCCCGTAAATGAAAATTAGGGGACGATGCAGAAATTGCTGGCCTGCGTGGTGTTTCGAGTACGTGCACTTGCACTCTGCCTGTGCAATCTCCTTCCCCACTTGTGAAGTACAACTTTGGTTCCACACAAAGGCCATTGCTGTCCCCCAGCGATGCTGTGGACCCTCAAAATCTTAAACCATAAATCCCTATACCCTAAACCCCGAAGCCTCGCAGCCCGAAACCCTACGACCTTAGAATTTACAACCCCAAACCCTAAACCCCAAAACCTAAGGCTTCTGTCCCTGGAGCTGGACCCCTTCGTGGTGAACTTTGGCCGCCACTTCGGCGGGCCCGCGCTCATGCGGGCGAAGACCATGATGGGTCCGGCCAGGGTTGCTTGGCTGTGATTACAGGGTTTCTATGGGGGCATTATGAGGATTCTGTAGGGGTATACTGGAAAAATCGCAGGACATAGACATCGAGCGGAAAAGAACATGGCAAATACAATCTTCACAGGGTGAGTGAAGAAGAGTGTCAAGGAGGATCGTACCGTACACGATTTTTTCCGCAGAGACACATTGAGACTCTCATCAAATTTTCATGTGAAAGGATGCAGCGTAATTGCGATCTGCAAACTTAACTTGCTGACCCAAGTGTTTCTTTTGTTGGTGGCTTCACGTCTGCGTGAATGGTAGCAGTCACAGAACAGCAGGATCAACATGTGTGTGGGTGAGCAGAAGGCAGGTTTGAGGTTGCCGCGTTTGTTTTGAGTCCTTTCATGACATGTTCAATATGCGTCGGGTGAGTAAAGTGCCATGACACGACGCACGCTGTTTGCTCTGTCTACCCCTGAAGCGGCTCCCCTGATGTCACCAGCCAGAAAAGGTAACCTGATCTAGAGACGCCTAAGCCCGCAAACCAATACATCCCTGTAACGCTTTTAGTGGGTCCATGAAAGATCCCTGTATTGAAAGATTTCAGTAGCCCAAGCCCCCGAAGAACATTTGAGGAGTCCTTGCAGCGCTTGTGTGCGGCTACCAAAAACCGACCGTTTGACCTCGTGATCATTGATGCAGATAAGGTGGGGTTAGGGCTTAACCCAAATTCGAAACCCTTAAAGGGTCAACTGTGCAGTTGGAAAAAGATCCGAGACGAAACGGGTCTTAGGGTTGGGGGATGTAAAGGTGGATTGCTGAGAAGGGACGGGTACCACTCGAGCCCCAGTTTAGAGCTAAATTGCCATGCGCTTGGTGACCGTGATTTGCATGGCACACTGTCCCCACTAAACGCATGAAGTGTATGTGCATATGTATATATATATATATACATGTCTACAGCCCGTAATTTCACCCCCTACTGTCTAGTGTTGGGTGGGGGCCGTACCCAACCCAAGAATGTGGAACTCGCAGGAGGGCATGGTGGACTATTTCGAGATGCTGTGGAAGACTCCCGGCCTGCTGAGTCCTCAAGCGGTGGTTGCCGTGGACATGACTCCCTTCAAGGCAAAGGAGCACCATCAAAACCAGAAGATGCTCCGCAAGTAGTACTATATAATAGTATATTATATTATATTATACTGTATTATACTACACATTATAGTATATGATATTATACAAAAAGTGAAGTATATTTGGGTGGGCGAGGTTTTTTGATGTCCTTCATTCTGCCACGAGTACTTGAGGCAAATTCTTGCGAGTATGAGCAAGGTCATGTGAATCATGTGCGTGCACATTTTAAAGGATGGCGTTAACGCAAAGTTACAAGTATTCTGTTGAACATTCGCTCGACAGCTGATCGCTTCTGCTCATAGTGTGCAAAGCATATCCAGAAGATCAGTTAAGCAATGGTCTGCTCCGCACATTGGCCGGTGACAAAACGATCATTCGAGGATCTAACTACGTTTCCTTGCACGTTCTTGTATGCGCTTTTTCATTGCTTGATTGCTTCTCGTTGTGGGTTCAGTTGTGTGTTGCTTGTTTCTTGTCTAATGTCCGCTGTATGCTTTCGTGCTCCCGGTACACCATTGTCTTGATACTTGCCGATGTGGAATACGAGCCAGTTTTCATTTGATTTCGATTTTTTCTTTGACATTGGATTTTGCTTTATTGGTATTTGCTTGGCCTTAAGCATTATTCACATCTCTATATTTTCCAAGCTAGGCCCCCGAAACCCGCCGTGGGGCAGGGCCAGCCACCGTTGCGCTTTGTGAAGTTCGGCTTTCCCTACCGCTGTGAAACAAGCCGCTCAGCTTAAGTTACCTCTGGTTAGTGGGGAGCGAGGGAACGCATCCCTAAACCCTAAACCCTAAACCCTGTACCATCCCAGGTTCGATTGTTAAAAGAGAGTTGCAACAATTATTTAGGGATTAGGGTTTAGGGGATGCAACAACAGTTGGAGATGACTTTATGTGTTGGGATTATGTGATGTAGGGACTGCTACAGTGAAACCCTTAACCTTAAACCCTAAATCCTAGGGGTTGTAAAAAATCCTTAAATCCTAAAGCCACGCTCGTAATGCAGGGATTTCATGCCAGTGCTGCGCCTCTGGAAACGAGGAGGTGTCTGAGTAAGAAGGTGCAGAAGTCTGTAGCTGAAGATTTCTAAGCAGCGAATGGGCAGTTTCCCAAAATACGGGGACCCCAATTTAGACCCCAATACTTTACAATCCTCACAAAAGGACTATAGGGACCCAATTTTGCGAAACTCCCAATGGTTGTGCTCATGCCATCTCATGGTCATGCCCTCATTGCTGGTTTCGCGCTTCGTCGATTCATGTAGTCAGACTTGCGCTTGTGCATGTTGGAACCGACAATCAGGTTCCGGCGAGAAGCAGATCAATGACTTGCGCGCTCTCGTGCAAAAGTCAACGGAATTTGCGTCGCATGAGTTTGGTGGGTTGCTGATTGTTGAGACGAAGCACGCCAAGACTGCAAATAGCTGAATAGCTGCCGAGTAGAAGGCGTGCTCAGCATGTTCCATCTCCACTTTTGTGAGAAATTCGTGCATCTTCCAGTTTTAAGCCTGAAGCAGACTGGCGCATGGAGCAACCATGCCCTTTGCCAGGTCTGGATGTATGTTCTGCCCATTTGAGGCTTTGGACAGACTATCACCACGCGAATTCGTCAGCCCCAAGATCACACGGCACAAACAGACTTGGGGCTGAATTATCTGGCTCGCGGACCAAAGTGAAGAGTCAGCTTTGTACATACTTTGTGTATAAGCTCATGAAATTAACCAACAGCATGTACAGACAGTTTTGAGCTGTGCTGAGGGCCCGCCAAATACACCTTCGCGGTAGCCGCGCGCAGCTGCTTGGGATCGGATTGGCCAACTACTTTTAACGCCATCTTCTGCAAACACAACCGGAGATGCACGTGCTAGAACATGCAGGTCGCAGAGTTCTATTTCAATGTATAGTATAGCCGTATAGCCTCCATGGTACATAAAAAATGCAGCGATGTCTCCTGAAACATTCTCCGAATTTAATTCCCTTCAGGCTTGTACAAGCGACAAATGGCTTTTTGTTAAAACGCTGGACGCTGAGCCGGGCCCTGCAACAATACTCTTGATTCGTACATGTTTGACGAGGATCAAGCTCGGCGAACAATAGAGAGTTCACAAGCAGGGCATCTTCGCACAGCATTTGAGGTATAGTCTAAGCTTGGTAAAGGGGGTAGGGGATTATCTAGGGGAGTATTATGGAGGTTATTAAGGGGGACACATGGGACACTAGGTGATTTGACCGTATACCCTTAAATCCTGGGGTTATTTAGGTGGATACTAGGACTTGAGGCTACAGCTCTTTTCCGATTCAATGTTAATCCACACATCTGCAGGTTTTCTTGACTCCTTGCATTCTGCCACACTCTTGGAACAGGATGGAGCACATTACCAGGTTTAGGGTTCAGGGTTGAGGGTTTGGGGGTTTGGGGTGCAGGGGTTCGGGCTTAGGTTTGCTTACCTATTTGGCCATTTAAGTAGCGGGCGGCGATCTGGTGATATCAGTAGGTGACCAATCCAGTCCAGTACCACCTCATCTGCGGCCGGCGTTTAGAACTGGCCCAAGACATGCAACGAGGACAAAAATGAGCCGGATGCACTCTCCTAATGGTTTGCTGTGCATAGTTAAAGCCGGTGCTGGAAACATCTTCTGTGAGAGACTTGGCGACTTGGTGTGACACATGGGAGCTGGCCAGCATCACGGCCTAATCATTTGCGGTACTCATAGTGACGAAGTCGAGCACCATCTAGGGTCCAAGATTCCGGGGGCAGGCAGGGTGGGGCAGGGACAGTGGGGAAGCACAAGGCTTCGGGGCTCCTTCTTGAGGACTGCCCAGAAACTTCTGGCCAAAAAGAGGTATGAGTGTCTGATGTCCGCATAGAGTTGACAAGCCATTTCCGGGTCCCCGCTCTGAGGAGGGTCCTTCGTTCGTAAATTGCCTTCTAGTTGTTTTGGTTCAGTGGGAGATCAAACCGTTTTGGGTGGTCCATCCGGACTAAAAGAGCAGAGTCTTGACAGAGTGATCCTGGAGGGTTGGTTTTGCACATGCTTGATGCCCATCAGGGGCCAAAGCAAACCTGGAAGCTTATCCTTCAGAATCCTTGTCCTTGCCGGAACTCGAAACCTTGAATGCAGACTTCAAGTGCTGGTGGCGAAGGCTGAGCGGCACGTCAGAGGAGATGGGCATTTTGTCGAATTAAAGGTGCTCTTAAGGGCCCTCGGACGCTATGGTCACTATAGGGGAGACCTTGCGAATATTTTCGTGAAAGACAACGCCGCGCGCACATGTTCATGGATGCGACGAGCATCCTTTGTAAAGAACGGTGGAGGGGATTTTTTGGGCAAAATTGGGGGGACTACGCCTTCCACAGTGCTGGACAGATGCCTTATTGCATGACGGTTCAGTTCACGAAGTTTTCCAAGCACAACCCGCCCTCTCGAAAAAAATGTGCGATGGTGAACAACAGGGAATTCTCAGCGGATGAAATGTGGAAGGCTTGGTGTGCTCCCCTCCGAGCGGTCAAGCTGTTCACCCAATGCGGACATGGAATCCCAACTTTGTGCGGGAACTTGCGTTCTGCCCGAGTTGATGCGGTCATGGGCATTTACCACTTCTCCAGCTGCTGGCCATCAATTGCTTAGAACCGGATGTGGTTGTGGCGTTGTTAAGGCATCCGGTGTGTTTGTCTATGCTTCCGTGCTTGGTGGATCTTGCCCGTCCCAAGCCGACATGTCAACTGTTCAAGGGCCGAATGCTGCCCGATGCTGGGAGCGTGCTGTTTGCCAGCCGGACGGCCGACACCGGCGGTGCATACTCGCATGTGACATTTGCAGCGGTTTCAACAAAATCAAAAACAGATCGAACAGTTCGTGTACGCACAGCCGACGCCCGGATCAGCGGGCTGCTGCGCTACACAGTGCAGGAGTGGATATCTTCCTCATCACAGGGGATGTGCACGTGCTCATTCGTCATGCACGATGGACTTGCAACTGATCCGCGTCCAGCTCCGACCAGGCCTCTGCCAAGGGAGCAGGCGTGGGTCAGGGGCTTGGAATGCACGGATCTCTGCAGGCATTGGGGGGTATGGTTTGGGGGTTATACGGGCAGGGATCCGAACGCAATGGCGGGTGCATAATTTGCGCAATGCCACCACCCTCCTGGTTGCATGCTAGGCACCGGCTGTGTGGGCAGAAGGGGCGCAGGAGCTCGGACGCGCCGGAGACCTGAAAACAAAATTGCGCTAAGCAACTGAAACGTTTCGCTTCGCCCGTTCAAGCCACGCATGACGGAATCTGGACACACGTACAACATATTCTGAATGTTAGCAGGAAGCGCTATTAAGAACCACCATCGTCCATGGCACCACGACTGAAAAGGCGAATGCAATGGACGCGCAGCGTGGGGGTTGCCAGATAGCACCAGCAAGTTTAATGAACGTCGGACGACCTCATTGGCAAAGAAAGATGCAGCAGCAGCAGCAGCAGCAGCAGCAGCAGCAGCAGCAGCAGCATAGTGCACAGAGCAGCTCGAGGTAGATGCTACCGGCACACCTTCGGCTACGGTCTCCGACCTCGGCTTGTCACTTTAGTAAGCAAAACTGTTGCAAGATCCGTGTCAGTATGATCCCGCAGTGGTGAAAACATGTAACGGCACCGGCATCGCAGCAGCGTCTTGGCTGCAGGAAAAGATGATAGCGGCCAACGCCACACACACGCTGCGCAGCGAAGCGGCGCGGAAAGCGCGCAGCAGCGCAAACAATCAGATGCGGCAGTTGATTTTTGATGTGTATCCGGCCGCTACCTAATTCCGAAAACAGCTGCCCAGCACGGTGCAGGGACAATGTATCAGCCCAGGCTTGACAACGTATTCGTGCATGCTGGGTGGTGCCCATGGACATTCGCAGGTTGTCGCAATTCATCTGAGGGAAAGAAAGAAGTCCGCGATCGAACATTTTTGCAGATTGCGGGGGCTGGGTGATTGGCTTGTAGCTGCTACAGATAGCTTCAATGAGAAATGGGCCACCTTCGGGCTTTCAGGCTTGACTCTGACACTGACGCTGCAGCTGGCGGCCGGGAGAGTTAGGGGCATGGTTGCTCGTAGCTTTCTGCTGTTACTGGACTATTTGGACACCAACATGTTCTGTTAACGTTGTGCATAATGATTGTGGTCTGGCTCAGCGCGGACACCCAGAAAATTGGGGCCTTTTTCTTCTCAGGCTCGCAGCTGCAAAATCAGAATAAATTGTGGGGTTCACGCGCTCCTTGTGGACGTTGAGTTGGGCGGGGCAACGGCGGCAGAGTTTTTGTGCAAACTCTTCATGGCGGATTCGCGCCGCACCCGTACATGCCCGCGCCCACGGGCTTGCACTATCCTGCACGGCTAGCCGGCCAGCTGCGCATAGCTGACGCCAAAGTTCCTCCCAAATTCTGGAATTGGATGGAATTGTCCGCAAAGAAAAAATGAAAGGAAATGGATCATGTTGTACGCTGCAAGTCCACTTTGTTTGTGGCAGGTATGGGCAAGGCGGATGGCGGTGGCATTGTTTGCGTTGTTGGCTCTCGGAAATTGTTTGCGCTATGACGGGCAGCCACGTTGGTGTCGTCTCTTGGTGGGATGGCACCTTTCGAAAAGGAGCACCGGATGGGGAGGTTTGCCGCCCACCGCTGCCCCCTTTTGTCACCGAAAAAAAATCTATGAAATTTCGGGATCCCTGAAACGACATTGGCAGGGCTCCGGGTCGGCCGTGTTGTGGCTTCATGCAGCTCCAATGACCGCATGCGGGCACTCGCGGTTGGGGATGTGTTGCGCCGCTTCGTCGGGCGCTCCTTAGCCAAACAATGCGTGCCCGCGCTCGAGGCAGCGTGCTTCCCACACCAGAACGGTCTCATGCACACGTGCCAGTACTGAGGCATCCGCTTCGTGAAGGAACTGCGGAATTGCAAGTGCGCCCACACACCGTTTGGGTTCTTCCATCGATGTGGTGCTTGCATCGCGTGATCTTGTCATCCGTAACATGGTCCCGCATGATGGCCATTCATTTGCGTGTCCGACAGTGTTTTGTTGCCCGTTTGTCGGTAGTGACCACAAGTTCATTGAATATTAAATACATGTGAAAGTCTGTTGGGACCATGCGGCATTGAGGCTACGATCCCATGTTGGCCACGTGTGCGCGCTTGGAAGCCGCTGGTGCACGCATTGTGCCCTCCCTCCGCTATTGAGCTGCTCAGCTACACTGTCTTCCTTCCGCCGTGATGGCTGTCATTAGTCTGTTGAGTTTCGCCGTGCAATACTTGATATTTTGTATGGCGAGTTTGTAATCTTTCGCTCCAAACGGCTCGAATTCCATCTTTTGGTCCATCGCAATAAAGGCAACGCGCCTCGCCATCGCGCGGTACCGGCGAGACCAAGGTGGTGTTTACGGCGGCCTGCGCCCCCTGCC